TGCTGAAGTGCTTCTCTGGAGTGGTGGGTGGGTACAGCAGACTGAAAGTAAGATGATATCTGTCTCCTAGATACGTGTTTTTTTTATAGTGAACAAACTTATTAGGAGCTAGCTGCTGTGCATTTGGATACAGAAAATAGAAAGACTCATAATCTTTGGACGGTTAAATACTAAAGTGCAGTAGGCCTGACTGAAAAATAAATAAAGGCTGAGAGGCAGTTTGGCAATTACATCTTTAAGCACAGGAGGTGGGACGTTTATAGGTTTTGGGGGGTTTTGTAGGTAATCAAGGTATAAGAGCTGCGTTCAGAGAAGAAGAACAAAATGCAAAGAGATAAAAAATATTTCTGTCTGTTCATTAAGAGGGATCTTCAGCCACATAATTTTATTTTGTGAGGATTTATAAGAGGATATCTATCTATGAAGTGCTGAAGAAGCAGCGTAGAACAAGCACAGTGAACATTGCCTTGCCGCATCACAGTCAACTGCTCTGAGCATAGCCTTTTGCCTCAAAACTGCTCTACCATGGGAAGGACTAAAATGAGCTTAATGTAATGCTTTTTTTTAAAAAAAGAGTTTTAGGAGATGCCTGAAGAACCACTGGTTGGTTGAATGGGAGCTATCAACTACATTTGGATTTTCAAAAGACATTCAACAAGGTTTGCCACCAAGGACTCTTAAAGAAATTAAGCTGACACAGGAGAAGAAAGTCATTGCTTCGTTTAATAATTAGCTAAAAGAGGGGAAACACAGGATCGGCTGTTCACAGAGGGGAATGAGGGGGATTTTTTTTGTGTCTTTGCGAGGACATATCATAAACATATGATATATGACATATCAGTATATCATAAACTGTTGGAAAAAAAAAGCGAATGCTGAGATGACTAGTTTATCCTGTGAACTAAACTGATAAATTGCAGTAAAGACAAGTGCCATCAGTGAAGCTTTAAAGTCTTTATGCTCATGGATGTCTGAATGATACAGTAGCAGATAGTACTAGCTGTAGGTGAGTGCAAGAGATGCAGCATGGGGCAAAGACAATCACAACTTTACTGTTATGTATATACACATATTTATTTAAAGTATGTATGTAATATTTGAGATCGAAGTGAACATACAAGAGTGAGACCTTGGGGTAATAATAGACATTTCTTAAAAAAAAAAAAGTCTAGTGCTCAGTAGTTGTACAAAAAGAGAACAAACCAGAGCATTATTATTTATAAATATAAAAATTATATGTAAAATACAAATTATTTGTAATATCTAAAAATAACGTTTATATTATATATAGATAGATAGCTGTGGTTTGCACACATCTTGAACATTGTAGGCAGATGTGGTCCTCAGAAACATGTAAAGGAGAAGTTTAAGGTGTTTAGAGAAGGTAGGTAAGGGTAACTGAAGACAGGGCAGCAAGTTCAGTTGTAGGAATGAATACGGCTTTGTGGAAGCTTTTGTCTGGAAGAGATGTCTAAGTGAAATATGGTAAAGATCTGCAAAATTGCATGTGGAATGAAGGTAAATAGGGGAGTGATTATTCACTGCTTCAGTATAACTCATTGATTACTCACTGCTAATGCAAGAGATACAGCATACCAAATGGAATTATCGGGTAACAACTACAAAACAAAAGGGAGCTAGCTTTGGGAGTCCTGGTACATGCTAAGAGGTCGCAAGGCTTCTGAAAAGGACTGAAAAAATTTCCATAAGAAGAGTTAGTTGCCATTGAGTTTCTGGCTAAAACATCTGGAAGCAGACATAATATTTTCATAAAATATCGCTGTATTTTTTATTATTTATTACACTTCTCCCATCTGAAGTGGCTAATACTAGAGACAGGTTACTTCTGCACCTGGATTTGTTGAGAGACAGTGCAGGGATTTTAATGAGTTTGAGAGGCCTTGCATACCTTTCCTGCAGGAAACTGGGCAACTTCAGCACTAGTTAATTATAGGTGTTCAGAAGGACCTGTTAATTTTGCTATGCATGTTTTTGCTTATGCAAATTTCAAATGTCATGTATCTGACTCTAGTTAAAATTGTCTTCATATCTGTGCTTTTAATTCACCCCTTTTTTGTTATGTTAGTGCACACTTTTGTATGGATTCGACATTCATTTTTAGAATGAACAGAATAAGATGAAAAAAGTTATAAACAAATTCTTCAATCAGGGCCGAAAGGTTTATCTTGGCGGATTAGAGGTGGATTGATTCAATTGCATTTTTTATAGTAAATAGATTATATTTTTTTTAAGGACTGTTTTGCCTTCACAATGTTTGGGGACTTATTTGAAGAGGATTTTTCCTTTATTTCAAACAATCATTGTGGAAAAGGGAAGAAATCAAAGCCCAGAGATTCTGAGCCTCCAGCTCCCAGGGATTCCACCAACCTAAGTGGTATCAAAAATCAGGGTGGGACGTGCTACCTTAATTCCCTTCTGCAGACTCTGCTTTTCACACCCGAATTTAGAGGTAATGTGTTCAAAATCTTCTTAAAGTAATGTTGGAATTGATATTTTAGAGTGATGTGCATTTCTAGTTATTTATTAAAGAAATACTACAAAAAGATTGTTTTCAGCAACAATTTATTTCAGTTGACTTCAAATAAGTTATTACAGAATACTCAGAGCTATTGGTCTGTAGAATTTTATTGTCACTTATGCACAAAATGTGGGATAAACATTACATTTTCTTGCAGGTAGACAGTCTGCAGCATGTGTAAATAAGAGGGTTTATTGCTGTCCATAAAGTGTCATTCATTTCTTAATGCAACAACTACAGTTCCTAAAAAAAAAAAAAAAAAAAAAATTTTTTTTGCCTTTTAAACATCTTCATGGTTACTTATGCTTTATTGTTATAGCTTCAACCAGTTGAAAGGACGAATGAAGTTCAGAAATGTTATTTAATGTCTTAATTTGCGAAAAAGAATAGCATCATAATGCTTGGCAGTTAAAATACAACAAACCTTTAAAGAGGAGACTTTTTTTTTTAAATAGGCATTTTTGTTACATTTACAGAGGCGCTGTTCTCTCTAGGACCTGAAGAACTTGGGACTTTGGATGATAGCAGTAAACCAGATGCAAAGGTATTTAAACTTTTCTTGTCATTAATCACTGCTGAATGTTGATTCAGAAGAATATTGTTTCAGTTTGAATGAAACTTCTTGTGAGAACGAATGAAAGCCTAACTGTGATGCTGAAAGGCAGTTTGATTGGCCGATACTTGATTTTGCAGACAGGTGTAAGTTTTCAGTGCCGTAAGCTTTTGCTTCAAAAGTAAGCTATTGAGCCTATTTCTGCTGAAATTGATAATAGAGGTCATTTGTCTTCGGGGGGGACCAGGAACAATTTCAAAGTCTGTACAGTCCTTTCGTAGATTTTCCTCTACTGTAATTAAAGCTACAGTGCTACGATTTATTTTTCACCAGTAAATGTCTGCAGCCTAGATGACTGCACTGAGGCTGTCTGAAGGTTTAACAGCCCACCCATGCACAAGATGGTATGGGACTGGTATATAATCTTTGTTTAAAAAGTGCTTACTGAAGTTGCCTACAGAATTTCATTCTTTAGTTTTCGTGTTAAAGTGACACAACCGGTTGCTTGGAAAATTTTTTTTTCTTTGTAAGTCAAAGTTAAATACAGGTAGCTGATCAAGCTTGTTGACATTAGCCATTCTCCTTCCTGTCTTGTTGCACGCCACCACCGAACCCTATACTGAGCAAGAAGTAGCATGTGTTAAATCTGTTTGTTGTGATGTCTTGTAGCTGAGAAACTTGGCCGTTTTTATTGTGGAGATGGCTTAATTTTAATCTGTACAGTTTTGCTTTATCACAAAACATATGTTCCATGACGGTATTTGGCTGAGTAAGGTGAGGCACTGTAGATTTTTGGGAACCAAGTGTGACTGATGTTTTGGTGTGAATTGAGTAGCCTGTGTTATGAAAGCTATAGACAGTGGTGATTTATTACAAGTTTTATACTAAATTATTTTTCTTTTTATTTAAATGATTGGTTTGAAGACTCGTTCTGATCTGTTGGGTATGTTTTGTTTTTTATTTCTAGGTTCGAATAATTCCATTACAACTTCAACGGTTATTTGCTCAGCTTCTGCTCTTAGACCAGCAGGCTGCATCTACAACAGACCTTACTGAGAGCTTTGGGTGGAACAGCCATGAGGTACAATTTACTATCAGTGACACCATCAAGAAAGTTTTTGGGTTTTTTTTTGTTTGTTTGTTTTGTTTTTGGAAGTCTGACATTTAAGAAATACCTTAAAATACTTCAAGCTGCAGAAAGCGTTGAATTGGGTCAGCTATTGTATATTATTGTATCTCCACATGAAGTACATGCCAATTGTTTACAGTGAGCAACAGAAGAAAATTTGTTCTGTTAGATAAAGTTTCAGTAGATTTTCTTTTGTTTTTACAGGAATGTTTTTCCAACAGTAATTAGAGTTCTTGTCGTTCAAATACCTCAATTCTTATCTAAATTGAACTGTGTAACTCATCTTAGCGTTTAGTCTAAATCTACCCAACTGAAAGCATCTTATGCTTCTTATAGTTTGTGTACTTGTAGCTACTCAGAGAGCATAACTAAATTAAGAATAACAAATAATAATAAAGGTACTACTCAAGGTAGTAAATGTATGGGTAGTCATTGAGGCAGCTGTCTTTGTCACAGTTAATATATGTTGTTCTTAAGCAATAAGCAAAGCAGGTGGCACTATTTTATTTCTTCAAGTTTGTTGGTTTTTTGTCATGCAGGAAATGAGGCAGCATGATGTGCAGGAATTAAATCGGATTCTGTTCAGTGCTTTGGAAACTTCCCTTGTGGGGACTTCAGGTCATGACCTTATTAACCGATTGTACCATGGGATTGTTGTCAACCAGATTGTTTGTAAAGAATGCAAGAATATCAGTGAGAGACAGGTAAAGCCAGATGACTTTCAAGGATAGATTTCAGTCTGTTGAAGATACTGTAAAAGTTCTTTTTTTTTTAAACTCCCAAATTAATGACATTTCTTGAGTGTCACTGGTGGCCTTGTTGAATCTAGGTGGTGTGTATTGGTTAGAGTGCTGCAGACTTGCATATGTGAAAATTATGCATGACTTTGTTGTTAAGTCTTGGCTGGCATTTTCTAAACCACCTACATCAGGCCATGACTCAGAGGTAAAAAAACAAGTGTTATCGCATCTTCTGAGTTGACAAACATTGCCTTTAGTAGATGTAGTTAGCAGAGAGCTGAACAGTGGGGTAACAACAGTCAAACCTATCTTTACAGTATTTTATGCGCTTTGTAATTTAAAAAAGTCTGTTGTTTTTTTTTTTAAATTAATTTATCTTTTGTGGATGTATGTGTGTTTCCTCCCCCCCTACCCCCCCAGCAGTGAAAGCAAAATAAATGCTCACATCTGTTGTGGTGAATGGGATGAGTATCTTTCTAATGTACCATGAACTTCCACTACTTACTACCTTACTTTTTGTTGTACTTGTGGATAGGAAGACTTCTTAGACCTAACAGTGGCGGTAAAAGGTGTTGCTGGCTTGGAGGAGGCCTTATGGAACATGTATGTAGAAGAAGAGTACTTTGAAAATGAGAACTTGTATCAGTGTGGAGCCTGTGATAAACTTGTTGAAGCTTCAAAGGTAATGCATTGGTGATTCTCAGTGTTCAGTTTGCTAACAGTTAGGAACTTTGTTTACATTTCTGTATCTGCCCTCTAACTCCAAAACAGACATAGACAGCTATTAGTGCACTGACGCATTTTGCCAACTTCACAACAGCAAAGCTCTTTGGCCTACTGCAGTGGCTCTCTTCTGTAACAGATCAAGTGCAGTCCAACCCTTGCATCACCCTTAATGTGGAAGCGAGTGGGTGCAAAGGCAAGCTGAGGACAGATGAAGTTAATCAGTGACTCGGGAGTTCAGAAACATTTGCCAGTGCCTCTTGTGGCTTGATTATAAGGGCTTATTTGAGTTAAAATTTTCTGGGTTCGGGGGAGCATGAGATAAGAGTTATTTACCTCTCAAATGTGCTCGTCCATTAAAGAAGACAGTGGAAACTCCGATCCTGGGTAAGAAGTCACATAGCTGGGAGATGCCAGGGTGCGAATGGACAACCTCAAGAGAGCGGGACTCTGCTAGAAGGCTGTAGCAGGAAGGAGGGACATTGTGTCAGCATGACTGCTGCTTGTGGCTCTGTGGCCCTGCAGGCATGATGTGTGTGATCACAGCAGACTATAGTGAGAGTTAACAATGGCAGCAAGTGACGGGCCAGCTGAGTCACTCTAGGCTTGGTTGCATCGTTTGGAAGGCATCTGCCTAACAATGCGACCACCTGCCCACACCTAACATGTTTCAAAGACAAGATAGCCCATACCTACCCACTCCATTCCTCCCTCCCTTCAGTACTCAGTGGGTCTTTGGATGTTATTCTTCCCCCTTTTTTGTCTTGGCCTTTAGAGATAGTAGTAGTTGAAGAATATCATGTTCCAGAACGTTATCAAATTTTAATTGTACAGTCTGATATTCCCCCTAAACTTGGAAGAACATGCAAAATATTTTGTGCCACTAAGCTCTGCAATGGCTTTGCAATTGATGCAAATGAAATACCTAATACAGGAGGTTTCTTAAACCCTATGTGTGTTCCTGGGAAGCTCTCTGTTACGGCTCTGCAAGTGGAGAGTTGGATGGAGACATTGCAAAGGGTCGGAAGCATGTCTGTTCAATCTACGCTTACATTCAGAGGTGATACAAGATGGTTGGTTTTGCTTCACACTAGGGTTCCTGATGTGCTCACACACCAAGTTGTTTGATCTTGATTAATATTCTTTCTTACTAAAATGGATTACGTTGGCTTTCCTGTCTTGAAGGTCCTCCCCTCTATAAATGAGGGAGACTAACACGTGCTTGTTCATTCTGTGGCTGCTTGTAGGGTCTTCCAGGATATGCCTACCCTATACTGCTCAGGCACAGCATTGTGCTTATTTACGATAGCCCACAGATCTTAGTCAAGGCCCTTTTCATCAAGCAGCCTGGCAGATCTTAAGCAAAATGCCATCGTGATATGTTCTGGTGACATTTTTCAGACCACTTCTGTTGCATTTGGAGGCAGCCCAACAGTCACTGAGCAGCAGGCTGCACAATACATGTGGGAGTGATCTCTTTTTCTGGACAATATACACCTGTCATATCTAGCGATATTACAGATGGGATAATTTGTGACTTCCATATTTGACAACACTGTGCCTGTACAAGCCCTGACCTGTACTTGGTACCACATAACCCCAAAGAGCTGGAAAACTCCACAATGGTTATTTGAATAAACCTCAGGTGAAGTATAAATGCTGTGATTGGAGGAGATGATCCAGAAGGGTCAGAAGAGTCATAGCCCCAGCCTCAGTTGAGGTCCTTTCCTTACAGCAGAAGCAAGCGTGTAGGCTATGTTTGTAGGTAGAGCTTCATTCATAGCTATTTTTTGGGGGGGGTGGGGGGGGTGGCTTCAGGGCCTATGCCAGATGCTGAGCGCCCCACTGTTCATCTGGGAATGGTGATCTAGCATGTGTTGCTGTTCTGCAGCACCTGCCGTTCAGCAGCATTTAAGTGTTTGTGTTTTTTCTCTGGGCTCCCAGGGTCTGTGTGGGACTGTTGGTGGCAGGTGCTGTGCAAGGGGCCAAGAACAAAGTTGTATAGTCTGACTTCATGTGTAAGCACAAAGCCCAGGGTTTGAAACAGTTGCTTATTAGTATAAAATTAATGAAAATGCTCTCACAAAGAATATGTGGGCTATGGAAATGTAATTACTGACTAGCATTTCATCTCTGTCCTCCTTCGTTTTTTGTAGGAGGATAAAGTATGGGACTGTGGTCACCATTCAGGGAAGGTGTAGGGCTTTACAGAGGGGAAGGATCTTGATTGCTTTTAGGATGGCTAGTTGGTAGGGAAATTGAGAATTAAGGAAAACACTTTAAAAATTAAAACACTGTTCATGTCTGCCTGCTTGTAACCAGGGTTTGTTGGAAAGTGAATAGTTGACCATAGCAAAGTGGAAACATTATTCTGTATAACTGTGCTTACAATTTTTAAAAATCATTTTACAGTCTGCTAAACTACGCAAGTTGCCACCCTTTCTCACTGTTTCTCTCCTGAGATTTAACTTTGACTTTGAGAAGTGCGAACGATACAAGGAAACAAGCTGCTATACATTCCCTATACAGATAAATCTGAGGCCCTTTTGTGAGCAGGTTTGTACTGTTATATTTGTTAAAGTTTCTATGTACTCTGCATACAACCAATATCTCAAAGACAAGTTATCTTTTATTTTGCATTTTGTTAGGGCAAGGTATTTGAGAAATCTGGTGGGGTTTTCTTCTGTCTCCAATTCCAAATATTTGGAATTCCAATTTCTTTACAAAAGACCACTTTCTAACTGAATGGGAAATACCTTGTAGCTATACAAGGGGATGGGACATAATAATTACCTAAAACTTGATCTGGCATTTGTTTGAAAGGAAGATTATCAGCTGGAAATTGAAATTAAATTTGGTTTTGTATTGTTATTGTATAGATTTACCTATATATTTCTTATGTGCCTGTAGTTATTTAATTTTAATAAGGAATCTGTCTTTGCATTCATCCATATGTTTTTTTGATTATAAACTGAGCTATACTGATGTTTGGTGACAATTTTTGATCTTTAGAATATATAAAGAATATACTTAATAGAGGCACTGTTATTGAAAAAGCCATTTTTCTTATTGAAATGTTGCAGTGCAAGCTTGGAAATTTCTCAGTGTTTGCATTTGAGGAAGCCTTTTTTTTTTTTTCAGTTGGTTTGTGTATATAAATGTGTTGCTTGTTTTTTCTCTAGTCTTTTAAATAAAATAAGCCTGGTTATGAACAAACAGGTTGAGCCGTTCTATTATTTGCATCAATATTTAATTATTTTAAATTTCCAGTATTGTTCACAATCACGCTTAAAAAGTTGCTTAAGAAGTCTGTGACTTGGTATGTGGTTTGTGTCAATCCATACTGTGTTACCGAGACCAGTTCAGTCCCTGCATGTGTGAATGTACACTGAGAAATATTCGAAGCTATGCTGATGGTGTAAAACTGTCCTTGTGTTAAAGAGTTACTGATACATATTATTGTTGTTATTATTGTTTTTCTTTTTAAAGACTGAAATGGATGATTCAGAGTACATGTATGAGCTCTTCTCTGTTATTATACATAAAGGTGGCTGCTATGGAGGACACTATCATGTTTATATCAGAGATGTGGATGAATTAGGAAACTGGCAGTTACAGGTAAGTCCTGAAAGATTTTCTTCCTTGCTTGATATGTCTTTTTTTTCAGAAAAGATTTAAGAGATAGTGGATAAAATGTACATCCGAACTAATTAATATTTTAGTGAGGCTTTTTGTCTCTTACCTCATTGAGAAGGCTAGTTTTCCACAGTATGTGGCCTCTTTTAAGATTTTGCAGCAAATTTTAGCTTTCCGACCTGCTAAACTATCTCATGTTACCAGGCTCACTATAAATGAATTAATATCTTTGCTCAAGACTAGCACAGCCATTTTAATGGATGACTCTGGCTGGCTGTTTGTAAATAATGCAAATGCCTTTTCTGTTAAAAAACCTGATAGCAGATATTCTGTATGACATTATACAGTCCGTAGCAGGTGGCAGAAGCAGGTTATCAGAACTGCCTTCGTGCTTCTAAATTGTGCATGCTAACATTAGTACAGAATATGATAGAAAACTGTTAGTTGTGTGTGAAACAACAGTATTTGTGAGTCTGTTATTTTTCTTATACAGGAAGAAGAGCATAGGCTGATTGAAGATAAGGCTTTAAGAGATACTGAAAATGCCAAAGAAATAGAAAATCCATTGGAAGTGTTGAAAGGGATTTTATCAGAGGTATGGTATGTAAGGAGTTTACTGCTTTGATTTTGATACTAAGGAACGTAGAAGGGGTTAGTGTATGCAAGAGTAAGCAGGTGTAACTGTACAGAACTATTCTGAACTTACTTTAAAGCATATAAAACTTGTAACTTTAACCTGACTTTAATACTAATCGTGGCTCTTCATAGAGAAAACAGCCCGTTTTGAGTATTTCCTTAAGTTGCTTACCTAAGCTGTTGTAAAATGTGATGCTACCTTGGCTTATTAACAAACAGGAATGATTTAAGCACTTCAGAATTGGCTTCTTTGCATTGATCCCTTGACTGTTGTAGCCTTTAATTTCTCTGTAGGAAGAATCTAAACAAATTCCCGTGGATCAATTAGGGCAGAAATTATTGGAGAAAAATGGTGTGTCCTGGAATAAGAAATACCGAAAACAATGTGGAGCATTACGAAAGGTACTATGCATGTATGTTAGTTTGGTTTTTACTGTTAAGATAACTTTACATTTATTATTCCTATTGAATAGTCAGTAGGATGTTAATTGAAAATACTGGCAATTGGGACTAGCAGGATAGAGCACATGTTAAGAGAGGTTTGTGCGATAAATTAGTAAAATGGGGAACGTGGACAAGATTGTGAAGGGATTGTCTGCCTGAAAAGTGCTGAGTGGTTGATGTCCCCCCCATCTCTCAAGAGCCACGATTTTGTTTTGTGCAATTTGGCCACCAAGCTTGTTTGAAGTATCTGAATGCTGCTAAAATGAAAGTAGAAAACAGAGTGGATAAGCTGAGTGAAACTGGACGAGTAGGTTTTAAGTTCTTGAGATGCCACGATGGGCAGTGTTAATTTGGGTAAGGTACATCTCAGCAGACCAGAATTGAGCTCAAGATCCCTGTCTGGTAAATATAGAAGGGAGCACTTCTGTGGAGACTAGGGAGTGGAAAGTACTAGTGTTAGAGGGGTAAACTGGTTGCGGTGGTAAAAGCAGAACCTTTTTGATTGCCTAGAGCATCCATCACTCCTTATGCTCACAAGTCCATATGCTCTGTCCCTGGAAAGGTAGAAGTGTTTTAAAAGGATTCTGATGTCTCAAACAATGCTTGAAATTCAGAAGTTAGTCTGATTTAATTCTTAGTGATGCATGTATGTTAAAAACAATTCTTTTGCAATGTCTTGTATGATAGTTTGAAGTTTTATAAGAAACAAAGCCAGCAACAGCATATAAAAGATCAGGTAGATAAGTGGTGGTAGGAAAATTACATTTTTCTGTCTGAACTGAGGAAATCCACGAGGAAACATCATAAAACCAAGTTTGAAGGGATGGGGTTTGTTTATCAATTTGCAGATGAATTGGGTGAAGTAGCTACTGCAGGCTGCTATATTTAAAAATGGGTATCTTAATCTTGTCCTTGCTTTCCTTTTAGTATTTGCAGAATCATCCTCAGATATTTCAGTTCAGTCCTGATGAAAATAAGGTTGGTCTGAAGGAAAAACACAAGCTTGCATTTAGGTCAGATTCTCAAGGACAAGATCTCCAAAGCCCTCCTCAGAAGAATGATGTCCAGTGGAATTCAGAAAAAAACCCTGCAAGGCTAAGGGACGGTTCTGCTGGTTGCCATTGGTTTGATCTGAATGATTCAAAAGTCCAGCCAATCAAGGAGAAGGATATTGAGAAACAATTTCAGGGTAAAGAGAGTGCCTACATGCTGTTTTATCGAAAATCTCAGTTAAAAAGACCGCCTGAAGGTACACAAAGCTCATCTTGATATTCTGGGGGTTTCCATCGTCAACAGTTTGTTTTCTGGAGGGCAGAGGCTGTTGGGCCTTTCTATCCTTCCCAAGACCTGAAGATACAATTTTCTTTCTAGTGCTTATTTGAAAAAAGGGTTAACTAAAATACTCAGAGATTACCTCCAAGGAGGTAGAGACCAGTTAATTTGCTGTGGCTGACACTAACTTTCCTAGTATGCTTCACAAATATGAGCAGAAATCTCCTACTGAAACAAATACAAGTTGTTGCTAACAGCATTCATATATCAGTTTCCCTTAAGGAAAGATTGATGGGATGAAATAAAAGCACTTGTTTGTTTTTTGTATCATCTTGCAGTTTAATTTTCTCTATTACAAAAAAATGCAACATTATTGCTCTGAATTTTCAATGATTACTGTACTGTAATGTCTCATCTTGATCGCTTTTCTTGTTTGCCAAAACACATTAAGCAGCTGAGGCCAAACTAGCCTATATTATTTGTTGCAGCACGAGGAAATCCAAGGTACCAAATTCCTGAACACCTTCTGAGTGAAATGAATGCTGCTAATACTGAGCTGCAAAAAAAGAGGTATATTAATGTAAATGTACCAATCTCTTAAACAGCATTCTTAGTCTGCAGATCTCTAAAGTGATTAAAAATGAAAGAAACTCGTTGAGTAGAACCAGATACTGAAATGATTCAATGTCACAGAGGTTAATCGAGGAATACAACTTGTAGATCCAGATTCTACTGGTTCCCTGCCTCCCTGTTAGTGGTGTAATTGGGTGTTCTACAGGATTTCAAGGGACACTTAATTACAGTTTAAAATTGTACAATTTTTTTTTTATAAAAATCAGTGCAATTCTGGAAGGAGAATGGAATAAGTTATCTTAATTATGTTTATAGAGGGGAGTTCTCTGTTGGGAGAAGGGGGAATGACTTGCTTTACTCTGAAAAAACTGATAAATGGTGTCCTTTGCCAGAAACATGGAGAAAAAAGCTAGTGGTATTCAGGTTGCTTGAAACTTTTTCTTTTCGTTCTGTTGAGGAACACACAGAACTGATGATAGGCGTGCATCACAGTTAAGCTACCAAAATATAAACACACACAAGAGATGTAAGTCTTGTGTGATATGTCCATACTAGGCAAATGTTACTGCTCTATTTTTCAAATGATGTGTTCACTGCTACATTTAGCTAATAGAACTGGATACAGGTATAAACTTGGAAAGCATGGCTGTGTCTGTCCTGATTCAGTTTCTGTGCAGTTTTTCTCTCTCTGCATTTCAAGAGAGTACTGATCTGGAACACAGCCTGATAAAACCTTCAACCTCCACATTCCTAAAGATGAAGTTTGCCATTTTGTTTAGAAAGGTAGAAGCAAGGTGTCGAAACACACAGAATGTACTGTTATAGTGCTTATGTAAAGGATGATAACGCCAGCTCTGTATTGTACAATGTGTAAATCACTGTCATCTTTGAGCACCTCTTTGCACCCCTTGATGGAGAGAGGGATGGGACAGTGAATTTAGCCATGAGGGTATCAGTTCCAGGACAACCGCACAGAAGCATCTCTGAGATAAGCAAGTCATTTGTCAGTGTTAAATTCACTGGTTTATTATTGTGTTATTCTTTCAAAGAGCGGAATGTGACTCAGCAAACAATGGCATTGATTTACATCTCCATCTGAGCTCGTGTTATAAATTTCACAATGGGGCTTTGCATCCTACACTTACTTGGAAAGAGAGTGTTGTGGAATTGACTATTGATAGAAGAAAAACACTAGGAGACCTTCGACATTCAGTATTCCAGGTATTTGCCGTATTAAATGAACTCAAACACTTATTTTTTACTTGAGCAATAACATTTAATGTGTATTTATGCAGCAATTTTTATCTCAATGAGAATTTTCAATAGTAAATTTTATTTTAGGATGCTAAAAAATATATGGATTTATGCAGAAGGAAACATTGGTTTGAGGTCTGTTCGGAAGTACTGAAGAAGCCATGAAATTGATGAAAATTTAATGATGTAGACTTTAAAGCCTTCATAAGCAAATTATTTGTATTTGGGCGGCGTGTTCATGGGCATGGATTGACGTTTTGCAAAACTCCAGGCTTATTCTTAACATTTAAGTTTGTGACAGATTTGTGTTTGTATTTTTAAGGAGCTAGCTGGCTTTAAAAGAAAATTTTAAAGAAATTTTAAGAAAAAAGAAAATAAGTTAAAAGAAATATTTAGCTTTGCATTTATTCTCGACTATGTTACAGGAATATGACAGTTGGTAAAACGCTTTTTCACAGATACCCAAATCAAACCTAATTTAATGTCAGGAAACACTGTTTGCTTTTCCTGTACCCCACAACCTTTGGTTAGTGTCCAGTTGAAACTTCATTTTTGTCTATCTGGTGACTAGTCTGGAATGTCAAGTCCTAAATGCTTGACTGTTTTCTGTGTTACTAGACTTGTTGAAGTAAATAGCTGTGACTTGTTAAGTGTCAAAGTGAGCTTGGTAGCCAGGCTGTAACAGCTTTCAGCAAAGTTGTAATTTTGTGTGATGTGAGTTATTGCTTGCCATTGTTTCATATATATATATTTTATTTTTTTTTTTATTCTTCCCAATTAGATGTTGGAATCTTGGGAAGGTGACATGATTCTCAGTATTGCCAGGCCTTTACCAGCAGGACTGCATCTTTACCAGATGCTCAATGGTGAGACTACTACATGCGAGGCTTCCATGTTATTTATATGTTGTATTTACTGCAGACATTGAGGATTCCATGTGTAAAACATCTTGGAGACGTGTATTACTGAATACTTTTTAAACTCAAACAACGTGCAAGTCCACTGCTGTTATTTAGGACACGCTTATTAGTGAAATGAAGGTTTTTGCGACCTTTATATGTAATATTTGTCGTGAAATGCAGCAAAACTGCAGATCTTATGCAAGTTAAACATGTTTGCAGACAGAAATATATCAGTCTGTATTTTGACCTTGATTTGCTTATGAATGTTATTTACCTAGTAGGTAGAGGATAGGATAGAAGAGAGGAGCCAGTGTGACATAAAAGAAAAATGTAGGTTAAACCTAAGCTGAAGTAGGAATTTTGTAAAGGAAAATGTTTACATAAGGAGTACATTAATTTGTTAAAAGTACATTATTATTTTAAAATCATGACTTCTGTCTCCAGCAATTCTAGGTGTTAGTCTGCAAAAGCATTTTTAGATTTTATAGTCTTTGTGGCACTCGTAGCTGCTGCAAATATTCTTCCACATGCTAGTACAGTTCTTTAAATGACAATGACTTTTAAAAAATCTGAATCTGACCTGTAATAGGAAGGTAAAAGAAAGTGCATGGGCATTAGTATTGCAAAGAATGTGCTTGGAACGTACAGTGTGTAACTAATTTATTAAATCCAAGCTTTTTATTTTAAACCTATTGATTAACTGTTAAATCTTATGTAGATAATCCTAACCAAGCAGCTTTGCCGAGTGCTAACTTGGGCCTCAGTTTGTAAGGGAAATTGAATTGAAACCTTTGTGCTGCGGCCCTCTTTACTCAGTGAGAGTGCTGTGGGGGTGTGTACCCGCTTGCGTTGCTCTTGCCACATGAGTGAACCCTTACTTACCCTCTCTAAATGCTGATCACACAGCAGCTTTTGTAATGCTACACTTGAGCCGGAGTAGAATGTGCCACCATGTTTCATTTGGTCGCTGACCCTGCCAGTCTGTTTTGCAGGGGGCAGGAACCTAATGATTTGCTCCTTTTTAGGAGATGAGCTGACACTGGATGGCATTGGGCTGGCTGATGGAGCAGACATCTTTGTGTGGAATGGGAAGGAGGTAAAAGAACTAAACACACTCTCTCCATGATGATCCTGAAGGGATAAGATGCAGTCTCCAGGCACAGTTTTGGAAATGTTGATCTGTTCTGCAGATGTGCTGCTGACATACCATCTTGGCACTGGGGATACTGTTTCAGCCTCATCTAGGATATTATGATTTTACAGCTTTTCAGCATACCTTGTGTTATGTACCATGTGCTGCCTGATAAAATTATAAATAGAATTATACTATGCAGAGCGTGATATGGTCAGATTGATAGCTGCCCATAGATATCCAATGCCAGTTACATTGGAGTGTATTCTGAAAATATTGCTGCTCTTGGAAGGAGATTGGTTGATAGTAATGCGATAACAAAAACTTATGCCCTGTAGTGAATCATTCCATGTATAAAATTAGACCTGTGAATGACTACTTCTGTGCATGGTCTCCCTAATATATTGTGCTCCTTTTCTAGTGTTGCATCTTAATTTAATATTGAGGCTTCTGCATAACTTTCCAATACTTGCCTCAGTGGTTATGCAACACAGCATTTTATTCCATCTGTGTAATGGAATAATTTTACTTTTAAAAGATTTTTGTTACAAAAGTATACATTTTCTTTGTGATTTATCTCACACACCCCCACACCTCTCAAACCTAAAAGAAAACATCTAGTAACAGAGTTGTTCATGTCTTGGTTGTACTTTTGGTACGGTCTTAGCTACTCCAGCTTCCTGCGTGATCAAATTGCTTTTGTCAAGGAACTATATTTTTGGCCTAGGTTGAATATCAGAAAGGACAGATTTAAAAATCTAAGTCTTTTGATCTGCCTTAGTTACAGTTTTGGGTAGTTCTTTAATATCGTTCTTCTGTTCTAATTCCTCTAAATTCCTCTATTCTTAATCTGATGGAGACTGAATGTCCACTGCTTTCCCACCTATATATATATCCACCTATATATATATCCACTGATATATTTACTGTACATGCAGACTTGAAACAGACCTCAACATTATGCCTTCTCTTCACAACACCTGTGAGTTACTGTAGTTGTTTGTTCAGTAGGCGTTTGGTCACAGGTGGTTTATTTTTAATGAGGAGAGAGGGTCCATCTTTGTATCTCAGTCATTTTATTGTTGTCATTTCTTGCTGTCCAGTCTTTCCTGTATTTTATTGATGACCACTGCATAAATCTTGTATTCCTTACTTCAGGTTGGTGGTACAAAGGTGATGACAGGCCCTGATCATGAACCTGTGGTTGTAAACGTTCTTCGTTTAGCAGAGTATAACGAAGGAGGGAAGGGTCAGCATTTCACAGAATCGCAGCATGTCTTTCCATGCAGCACAAAATTAGGTGATCTGCGCAGAGCCTTAGCACCGTCAGGAGGAATCATCTTAAAGAACGGCTCAGGACTAGATAAGGAAGCCAAGAACTGGGAAGTTTTTCTTGAAGAAGATATGAAGGAAACAGTCAAAAGTGTTGGTTTGACGGATGGATGCTCAGTACTAATCTTAGACAGCCATGACCAAAGGTAACCATTTTGATAACAAGTATAATTAAACAAAAAATCAATTTTGGAAAAATCTTTACTTAAATTATGCTAGCTATATATATATTCTTTTTAACTAATTGTCACTTTGAGCTTTTTAATTCAACATAATGCAGTCTTAAATTTTGTGGATTGGGTACTTATCAACTGTTAGATATTTCTTTGCTCTTGAAGTGCAGATGCAGTCACATCCTTTGACTTACACTTGTAAAGGGAAAAATCTAGCGAAAACGATTTGTGCCTAGTGTGCTGGCACATCTTTGGCATAACCTGAATTTCGGAGGCTTGAGTTGTGTGGTTGTCACGCCCCACTCGGAAGAGAGGGAGGGAAGTGACTCAGATTTGCACATCCCCAGTGGTGTGGACTAAGGTGAGACAACTCTCAAGGTCCATACAAAAACATTTATTAGATTCCCACAGTGATTAATATATGTCTTAACTAGGTCCATGATAATTGGTTAGGTACATAACAAATTACGGCAAACGGTAAAACAAAGTATGGCAAGCAGTAAAGTACGCCTTGTGTTACTTAGCAACAGATACACAACAAATTATGGCAAGCGGTACTTAACAACAGATATACAATGAATTATGGCAAGTGGTAAGGTATGCCTTGCGTTACTTACTTAACTTTAAAAGAAAGAGAAAAGAAAGAGATACAGAGGGATAGAGAAGGAGACGGAGAGAGAGAGAAAGAGATCACCAGTCCTGGTTCCAGCGTTGGTCCAGCCAACGGGACTGTCTGGTTCATTGAAGCGTTCCTCTGTGTAAAACCTCCCCAGGGAAAAAAGTCTCTCTAGGGGCACTTATTTTCGCCTTTTATTTTCCTGGTATCAGTACGACCCGCACACTGTTACAGTGCTCAGGTTTCTCCCCCCACCCCCCTCTGCCAGGTGACGTGTAGCATGATTTGGGTGGAGAGACGAGTGCTATAGTCTTATATGTTTAACATGATCTCAGTAATCTTCACTAACATATGCAGGGGTGTCAACTTTAATATGCATTTCACGGATAATGAGGCAAAGGTCATCATCGGGCATAGTAGCCTTCCAAAGAAACAAAGGACTGCACAGACTTTTGTTATCTCATCTGTGCCAACAACAAGCAGTGCTGTTCTGTTTCCCTACTCCATATTCAAACAAGTTTCTTTCCTCCCTGAGTAAGCAGGTGTCAGCCTTATCAGTTCTTTGAGCATAAGGCCTGCGTTATTCACCCGGTGGCTACAGCTACATTTCAGGGTACTTGCGAGCATTTAAGACATTCCTCAATGAGGCTCGGAGGGCCTCCTCCTCCCTTTCATCTCTCACCAGTTGTTTCAGGGAATTTGCAAATTGTCACTTACAACGGTTCTCTGAGGGACTTGATGGGATGAGAGAACACAGGAGTTATCAGAAGGGTATGCAGCTCTGCTGAATCTCACAGTTGAATCTAAACTGGCTAGGGGCAAAGTTCTGGTCTCATTTCACTTCCCAGTGTATAGCCCTAAGGTTAGGAGACTGTTTTCAGAGACATATATACACACACGTGCTTGTTACGTAACTTCTGACTTTGTAGTTGGAACAGTATTGAAAAATTGAGATTAAATCCATCAGTGAGAGGGTTCTTCACCAACAACTGTTTCTGTATTTATATATAGTAGTAGAGAGACAGAGAAAATCTCAAATATTAGTTATGACTAGGTATGTGTTTACCATATTTTTTTCCAGAAGCATTAAATCCAGCCTCAGAAAGTGACTTAGACTCTGAAGTACTTCTAGGAGCTCAAGTCCCATTGAAAGCCAGTTACCAAAACATAGCCCAAAGGTTCCTGGATGCTGCCTGAGGCCTCTGACTCTTACTCTGCAACATGCCATCGCTATTAATGACCTAGGCATTATTAGTTTATTTGAGAGCTTTGGTATTTAGCAGTCTAGACCAGATAATGTGTAGTTTTCCTATCTTTGACCATCTTTGCACTGCTTATTTTTACAGCTTTGTCAATGTGTCGAGTGGCAATTTGACTGCTTTTACGTATGACATCAGCTGGCTCCAAGTTAAAAACTTCTGCAGAACGGATGATGAAGAGAAACACGTTAAAATTACTGCCACTATTGAAACAGTAAGAAGTCTGATATAACACAGGCTGTTTCTATGAAAAGCTTGGCCAGTGCACTTGGGCCAATTAATGAGGAGTGGTTTTAGCCTCAGGGCTGAAGTTTTTCTGTGATGAAAATAGTGTGCAACTTGGAGTTACTGTTACTGGAATACTTTGCTGTGTAATAAGACTTTAATGCTGGTAACTTAAACCAGTGCAGTCTACATCAGTGTGTTGTAGTGTGAAACAATTTTTCTTTTTGGACCATCCTGTAAATGTATGTTTGGTGAGGCTATGTCAGTAAACAAAAGCTAGAAGAGGAGTAAAGTATTACTTCTTGCTTTCAGTATAGGATAGGAAAAAAATCCTGGTTTTCCCTAAGGGTTGGACTTCTTTGGTACCTTTTCTGCCTTTTAAGTGATTTCCTGTTACAGAAAATGTGAAGTACTACTTAGTTTTGCTCACCAAATTACTATTTGTGAAATATTAGTCTTTTGATAAATCCAAAAATTAAATAACATTTTATTTTCTTTGGAATACTGTTTTTAAGGAAAATTTCCACAAATGTATTCTGATATCATTACATTTATTTATTGTATGTATTTGGGATGATTATGTTAAGGAAATGTTTTTGCAGCTATGTGTAGTGTTAACCAGAAAAAGAACATAACTATGATGCATTTCAAGTGAAGGCTGCCTTTCGTGAACTGGTATTTGAACAGCAGATGTGTTACTAGCATTCTGTATTATAGGTGTCATTCTGTATTAGAGGTGTTAATATTGCTGTCTTTTAGGTGATGTCAGATATCAAAATGAAAGCAATACGGGAGCTTCAGCTAGAGGAGGAACTAGGTAAGTCTTCAGCTCCTTTATTTCTAGATCTGATAATGTTAGAATTTAGTGGCTGGCTTCCTGCTTTTTGCATCAGTCTATTCAAAACAGCAAATCCATTGCTATTAGGAGTTTTTTGGGGAAGAAAGAGGGTGCAAAGGACTTAAAATTAATCTAATTTTGAAGAAAGTTATTTTTCCTAGCTTAAAAAAAAATCAATGTAAGTGTCGATTAAAATATTAAAATTCAGTAGGAATAATCTATTACACTAAGAATTGAAGAAGATTTTTTTGACTTTATTTCTTTTTTTAAGACACTCCAGTTTTCTTTAAAGGTTGTGTTTGTGTCTTTACCTTTTGAAGTACTTGGTCAGTTTTATAGTATTTTACTGATTGTGCTTACCAGCTGGCTTCAAAGAGAAAGTAATCGTTCACTAAAATAAGACTGTTCACGAAGTCTCTAGGAATCTCTCCCCAATTTTATTTTTGATGTAATACTTCCAGAGGGAGGCCTCTAAGGTAAACCTGTTGTTGTCATTAATTTTAAATTTGTTATCTGTCTAAACTTCTGAGCCAAATTTCTTCATATTTGAATTACTTACTATATCTCTTTCCTGCCCTTTCTGTTACAGCAAATGACAGCTGTCTTAGACCTGTTAGTGGAAATGGGAAACTTCTTTCTCCAGGTGAATTTATTTATTTAATCATTGCTCTGTGAGAAGTTCAGTTGGGAGACTTTAAGCTTCCCTTTGTCCTTTCCTGGGAGAAGTACACACACGTAACTCCACTAATTTCCATGCTTAACTGAAGCAGTTGTGAGGTTGGTTTTCTTCCCCAGTTTTTTCTGTTTCTTAACAGTACCAACACAGAGCTTGAGGTTAAACTTTCATGTTTAGCTTGGTTTTATTACTTGCATTCTTAATGAATAAAACTGATGCGCATACCTGCTGTTGTTTATTGACCACTGGCCATGTAGTTCAAGACTGTGGGAATTAGCAGAAAGTTCTATTTCCCATACTTATTTTATAAATTGAAAAGTCTCTAAATGATCTGTTTTGAATCATATTTTGTACATTACAGAGCAACTTTCTGGATGTTCTAGGAAGCAGAGTCATTGTTAAATGTCTTTCTAACTTACATTTCCTGAAACAAAATGGACTAAATGAGTTACAGTATTGATGCGCAAGGCTGGATTTCAGAACAGCTTGAGCAGTGACCTTGAGTCCTGTGGTTATGGAGGAAGCACTGTTAGGTTTCTCATTACTGTGAGAAGGCAGCTTGCATCTGTAGTTTATGAAGCACACTGAGTAACGTGGATTCCTGTTTCCATAAGAGTGGAGGAACATGTTCATGCCATAGCCTGCTCTTGTATTTGGGTGAGCCTGTGATGCCGCTTGTCACTATATAACTGCTCCTGATGGCCAGCATTCAGTAAAAAAGGACCCCCAACTTTGCTTTTGCCATTGTTGGGGCAGTGGTGAGAAACTGAGTGGATCAGCTTTGTGTTTGTTGGGAAACATTTTCTGCATCTTTGCTATTTTGCTAATATATTGCATCAGTAAAACACGGCCAGGAAGCCACGGAGAGATTAATTCCCCTCCATTCAGCACTTGTCAGACAACATCTGGAGTATTGTGTCCATTTTGGGGGCTCCCCAGCATGAGAAAGAAGCCCTTACAAACTAGAGCCAGGCCAGAGGAGAACACCCAGGATGGTCTGGGAGCTGGAACATATGAGATGGGAGGGAAGCTGGGTTCTTCCAGCCCAGGGAAGAAGAGGCTTGGGGGGAGGAGGAGTAATCCCTGTCTTTAACTCCCTAACGTGGATCTGTAGAGATCTCGGAGCCAGATTCTTCTCAGAGGAGCATATGGAAAGGATCAGAGGCAGCAAACACAAGTTTCAGCAAGGGAAATTCCAGCTGGGTATGGTGGTGGGGGAAAAGGAATTCGCATTGGGAGTGGCTGAACAATAGACATGGAACCCTGGGAAGCTGGGGGATATCCATCCCTGGAGGTATTCAGAGCTTGACTGGAAAAAGCCCAGAATGAAGTGATCTGACTTCAGAGCTGGTTCTGCTTTCAGCAGAGGTTTGGACCAGGCAACCTACAAAGATCCCCTTCCAACCTAAATTCTTCTGTCACCCCATATACCAGAAGTGGTGGGGAGCAACCTTTATACAAATATTGCTTTGCTTTAGTTGTAGGAGGCGTACAGATCTGATGTCAACACTGTGGAAGCAAAAGTTCTCTAAATGTCCCTGAACATTTTTATCGTACTCTAAAGAACAGCACAATAGAATGGATATTTTCAGGAAGCAGCAGTTTATGATGTTCTTTGCGTTTTTGTCCTCCCTGAAGTACCCGAAGACTATACTGTCAAGGAAGCGGAACTGAAAATGGGAAGCTTGCTAGGGCTGTGTCATGGGAAAGCGCCAACTTCCACTCAGGTATAGTAGTGCTATGACTGAAAAGAGCCTTGTGCCGCTGTTATGCTTTGCTTACGTTTCCCAATATTCCATGTAGTCCTCTTTTTACCTTGTAATGGTTGTAAATGGCATGGAAAAAATGCTCAGTGACACTGAGAACTATACATATCAGCATGAACACTCACACCATTTATCTTGGTTGCAGAAGACCGAAAGCATATACGTGACCAGTTAATATAGCTCATTTGACTAATGGTACATCATTTATCATTCATCTGTTTGTGATTGCCCAACTTCTGTGTTCTGATGTGCTTAAACTTTTGTAAAGAGCATAAAGTAAGAAAAGGGAGATCTTGCTTTTGATATCTTCAAGTTGCAAATATTCAAGAAAAAAATAGTTGTATATTTCTAAACATCAGAGTGCTAGCAGGTTTTCTCTCTCATTTGCAGCAGGTAAGTATGTGTACAGCTGGTTAATGAAGCTCTACTGATGGCCATAACTCAATTACGTGTGTTCCTCTGTCCTGCTTAAATTGCTTTAGCCCAAAGGAGTTTCAGTGCTGTTTGACTGATGACAGGCTTGCAATGGCTGGTGTATGTGTGCAGTGTGAGGTGTTACTTCACAGTATTTACATGCGTACTTATGTATTCTGATAGCTTATATTTGCTTTTTTAGCTCTTCTTGTATTTTCTTGTTGGGAGTGACCAAAACTCAAGTCCTGAGATGGAGATAGTTGTGGAAGAGACTGCCTCTGTCAAAGAGGTGAGTCTAGCTGCTTTTGAAAGCTTTTGCCGTGCCTGGGTCAGGTCTGCTGCTTCTGGAGAACTCTGCCTTACACCCACGTATCACTTCAGGCCACCAAGAGACACTGAGGCAAAGGAAGTGTTTCGACTCCAGAAAGCCAGTGGGAAGAATGCCTTGATCGTTCACCAAGTAGTAAAGAGACATCCTTGCTTTTTCCCCAAGGATGAACATAGCCTGACTGCTTCATGCCTGGCTAGCTACTCCTTTTATATGCAGCAGTCCTCAGCATGATACGCAATCGTGGCAGAGCCTGCCCCAGTTCTCTTGTAGTTCATCAAACTCTGAAAACACAGATTTGGAGTGAGAGGAATCAGGAAGAACTCTGCACGGAGTGAAGGAAGCTGTTCTCAGTACTGCCAATCCAGACTTCTGGCACAAAGTGCCAATATCTACGAGTAGTGGCTGGAAAGCGTTGAGTTTGCAGGTTGATTTCTAAAAGGTACACTTTCAAATTCTGGGACAGAATTTGTTCAAGTAAAGCAACAAACTGACAACAGACCTTTTAAACAGTGTAAAAGCTGACTCACCTGACATTGTTTTCAGGCAAGAAATTTACTATCTCATACTTGAAGGGTTTAATATATAGCTCAAATACACCATGTTTATGTAATTATATTGTTTTTAGGAGTTGACTAGGAATCAGTCGCTCAGTTTTTATGTTCGAAAATTCTAGTACAGATTTGGTGAAAATTTTATTTCCCAACTTATGTATTGAAACAAGTCTCACTGTATGCTTCTTTTTTTCAGTGTCTAAATTTAATGCTGGAAAAATCTGGATTATCAGGTTAGTTGTACTGTATTGTTATTTAATTTTTTTTTAAAGGAATTTCCAGATTTCTAAGATAGCTCTTGCTACCCTAAAAGTTACAAGTCATAAGTTTGTTACAATGATATGTGTTTCATTGTCATTGTGATGTGAGGAGGTGAAAGAGCAGTCTCGCTTTTTTAAAAGCTGGCTGTGCAGTTGCTCTTGAAAATCAGTTTCAAGCTTTCTATTTAACCAAAATATGGCAAAATTCACAGCTCCTAGACTATATGCTTGAGTGCGTGTTCAGGTGGAGGTGTTTGGCTGTTTTGCTGTCATAGTGGGAACCACTTCATGAGATGAACTGTAAAAAAGTAATTTTTGGTTGTTTTGCAAAAGCAAGGTATTCAAAATGAGATCACAGTTTGGCCGTTATTTGGGAATCTGAGTGGTAGCAGTTCTTGTTACGAAGCTTTTACGTGAGGATTAAGGACGAGATCAAGACAGTGCTAGCATCACACACAAATTTCCCAGCCAAACAACAGGTTTACTGCTTTTCTTGCTTTATTTCATATTATAATTTTTCAAAAATTGAATTTGGTGTTGTGTGGAGATTCGTGATCTGACTTCTCTCATTCAAAGAAATGTCAGACTTCATTTGATTTGCTGTCTAAAAAGACTGCAAGGTATTCTCCCCCCCCCCCCCAGCGTAATTTATCCTTCTGGGCTTGGTATTTTTTTTATTATGATAAAGTCAAATTTTGTACCTTGCAAAGAATAAAGTGCATCTTCATCGGTTATTTTGGTTAAATTAAAGTTAAATTGTATTTGTTCCTTTTGTACCTGGTGTGCTTTCTGTGTAGGTGCTAAATCTAAAGTACCCTCCTCCCCCGCAGTGTGAGGTCTCCTGGTAGGCAGTTGGGGAGAGGAAGTTGGATTTTTCCTTATAGTATAGTTTTTATTTTAAGGAGCCTGTCATTGATTCAAATGGTATATTGACATGGAAATTTCATTGTCAATTCACACTCAGTATTTCCAGTAATTTTTTTTTCCTTCTCAATACTTCAATTTTCTTTTCCCTGCAGTGGTTGTTGGTTTTTTTTTGGCTAAGTGTTGTCAACCCAATTCCTTTGCTTTCCTATTAAACCAGGGAAATCAATTAAGTAGGTGAGCAAGAGAAGTTTATACAAATAAGAGAAGACCATTTTCAAACAGCAAAGTGTTTCTAGGGTCTGGGGAAGGACACGAAAGTGGTACTGCATTCAGTTTGTCAGAGTTGTGTTTAAAAAAACCCAAACAAACAATAACCAAGCACAAGAACCCCTTAACACTTATGAAGAGTTTTGTAATGTTTTTTTGAAACAGTGTTCCTGGCTAATTAGTTTTCCATATCTATGTTTTTGTGTTTTGGTAGGTGACAACTGGCATTTGAGAAGGATTGACTGGTGCTATGAAGCAGGGGAAGCATTAACTCAGGAAGTAAGATTATTTTTGACCTGAATCATACAGTAGTTTATTTACTCCATTTTGCTGTAGAGACTTTCCCCGAAGAGAGCTGCATTAAAGCAAATGCATGGCATTTTTGTGCATGCTACATTAGTACACACCCTGGTTTATTTTCACAGTGCCTTAGGAAGGCAGTGTTGGGACACCTATGGTTAAAATGTGAAATCTTGTGCACCTGCCTCGTATTTTCAGGGACTAGGATTAAGCCATATCTACATGTTTTTTTCTAAAGACTAGGCTTACAATACTTTAAAGACACATCTACAAAGAAGCACAAGGTGTTCAGTTGGTGAGATGTGGAGGTGCAAAGGAAATCCACAGCTCAACAGGATGCTCTGGAAGGACCCCTGCAGAGCAGACTCGTGTAGGTGCAATACTTGGGCGCTGCTGCAAAGGTGTCTCCAAGCAGGGGGTGTTAAATGGATATTTCTGTGCTCTTTGGTGGAACAGCAAACCACCTTGGACCTTTGGCATGCATGGCTTAAAAAGCCACCAACGTATACTTAAGGAAAGGAAGGACAAGAACATGTAGACTTACAAGTATACTGTGCTTTCTCTTTCTACAGAATGCCACTCTGAAGGAACTTAATGTTTGCAGAGGAGATACTTTGGTTATAACTGAAGGAAAGCTTCCACCAAAGGTAAAATGAGAGAGATTGTGTTCTTAGGCACTTGACAGTGTCTGGAGACTTGAATATGCTAGTAGTTTTTTTTTTTCTTCTCTTGCTTATTTTGAAAATATTTCAGTTGAAAAATTCTGGTCGGCAATAATGAATAAAGCTTTTTGTAGTTTTACAGCTTTTTTGATCTCAATCAACATTTATAATGTTCTTAGTCTATATTTATTCTTCTTTCAACTTCTGTAGTAAAAGGCTGGCCCATTGCAGCTTCTTTGCTTACAAGTATGTTAAGGTTGACAAATCTGGAGGAAATCTATTTCTGGCATGCAAGGTTCTTGTGAAGGCACAACTCTTATACTACTACTTCCTCACAAAATCGTAAAGATAGTGGAACTTAAGTGTTTGCCTTCAGTTCAGATTTGTACTGAGGACAGCATTTGAAAATAGAGGGCCCTACTGGGAGACCTTCTTGTCAGCGATGTTTATACAAATGAAAGGATTCTTTGCTAACAAACCTCAAGCAATATCATAGGATGGTTTGGGTTGGAAGGGACCTTTAAAGATCACCCAGTTCTGATCTTTCACTAAACCAGGTTGCTCAAAGTCCCATCTAACCTGAGCTTGAACACTTGCAGGGATGGGGCATCCACAGCTTCTCTGGGCAACCTGCTCCAGTGTCTCACCACCCTCATGACCAGAGGCAGTTCCCTTGGCCTGCCCTTCTGTGCCATGTACCCCTGCCCCTCACCATCTTGAAGGCCCTGGGCTGGACCCACACCCTACCCATCAGTGTCTGTCCTGGTCTGGGGGGACCAGGAGGAGACAGAGAAGTCCAGATGCAGTCACTAGAGTTCCAAATAAGGGAGGAGGAAAGCATCTTTACTGTTGTTTTTCTTGTTTTATTGGTTTTTTTAAAATTGAGTAATAATCAATCTTGAAAAGAACTCCTAATGAAGCAGCTAGAAGGGACTTTAATGCCAAAGGCCAGCTCCTCTTCCTGGCAGACCTGTAGTCTTCTGCTTCTCCAGAGGAACAGCTGTCTCTAACTTCTTTGCTTGACCTGTTGCTGTTTTTCATGCACTGCCAAGGAGAGTTTGGCTTCATCTTCAACAACCCTCATCCTCAGAGTGAAGGAACCCCACCTCCAGGCCCCAGGGAACTCAGAGGCCCTCTGAGGAATCCTGCCTCCTCAGCACAGCAGCCCCGCAGAAGCCAGGTTGTCTGGTCCCCTCTTCTTAGGGCTCAGAGCAGAGGAGATGGCACCCCTTCAGGGAGGGAAGGGGTAGGGGAATGGGAGAGAAGGGCTCACACTACCTGTGGCAATCAACAAAATAATTGCTAATTGGCAGGAGCTGGAATGGGTGAGCCTGTGGGATGGCTGGGCACAGAGACTGGAGCTCCCAGCAAATGTCAGGTGCGGAGGTTGTGCTAGTAGTAGGGTGCTGGCCAGGAGCTTCTGTGCTGGTGTCAGCATGGTGTCATGGAGGGGAGCCTTGGCACGATGTAGTGGTGCCGCGGAAGCCGTGCTGGAAGGGAATCCCCTTCCATCAGCTCTTCCTGGTCTTCAGGTGGATCCACTTCCATGGGCTTTACACCATCAGCTGCATGAGCAGCATTAGAGAGCTTTGAAGCTCAATTGTGGGGCAGTTGCCAGGGTCCCTGGATTTATAGAGCCTGGAACAGAAAGCAGTGAGGTGGCTTGTAACGTCGGGGGGCACTGTGATGGCAATGTGTGTAGCTAAATATGGCTGTTCTTGGGAGTTGGAGGGGCCTGTGAGCTAAAAGATGCCCTAATGTGGGTCACAGGGGGTTAAGGGCCACTTTTCTGGGCATCACTCCCCTGTGCCGTTTTGTTGCCCCTTGGGCACAGGGACTGCCTTCCACCTTCCCCTGTGTGCCCTGGGCTCCAGCCCTCTCCTCATCCCATGCCTGGGGTGCCCTGGATGAGATGGTCGCAAGACTGTTCCAGGAGGGTTAGGTGTCCTCTGTACCCTCTGCCCACACGGCTCCCTGCAAGTGGTGCAGCCCCCCATGCCCAACAGTGGCTAAGGGGAAGCAAAGCATCCAGACACCCTGCAGGCGCTTGAACAGAAGACAGCTGTCCTGTACAAGGTCTCCCACCACTATCTAAAAGAACTGCCGATTGCCAAGTGTTGCATGGGCTCTTTTTCTCCATCCCCTGGCCTTGCTCTGAAGTGTGGAGAGATGCTGTCTCTTCTGCATTGAGCCCTGAGGGAGAGGGCAGAAGAGGGCTTGACATCCTTGGGGCTGCGCTGCTGGTGCAAACAAGGAGCCTGTTGGAGGGCTTCTTTGCAAGTATCTTCAAAAATAACATCAGTCAAGTCCTAGGGCAAATTTGAACATTGCCAAGAGATTATCTTCTAGGGATGGATGTAAGGGAAGCTACAGTAGGCCACTGATACGGATTATTCCTGTTGGCATGTTATAGGACTAGCTACAGTCCTGATCTAGTTTGACAGCTGTTGTATACCTGTCTCCATTTCCATCAACCCTTTCCCTCTAAACTTGTTTTCATATAGATTGTGTTTTCGTGATTCTCATGCCAAAGGTTTTCTGCAGAGACCTAGTGGTGTTACAAGATTTCTTGTTTATCCAGAAAATTTTGGAGTTCTTCACAAGTACTGTTCATAAAGAATCCAATCTTTACTCACTGTGTGCATTACTTAAAGCTGAGATTTTTGCCCTGCATGCTCAAAAATCTCATGTGACTGCCATCCCACTTGCATACTTTCCTCAGACTGTGACCCAGCTATGGCTGTGGAGGGGAGGGAGGGAAACAACTGCACTGGTGGTCTTAATGACCAAATACAACAGGCAGGGAAAAACATGGGTCTGTACCCATATGGTGGATGGATTGATCCACTTCAGTTGTAAGAAAGAACCGGGAATATATTTATTGATACAAAATAATAATTTCACAAGGTTTGACAGTAAAGTCCACAGTATGTTAACAAGATTTTAGGGCAAGGTACACTTTGTTATTTACTACATAGAGGACCGGGTCAGACAAAGGGGGACCCCCCCCTTGAGTCACAGGTTCAGAGAGAACCCCCTTGCATTTCAAACACCTTCTCAGGTAGGAGTGTAGGCATGGCTGGATCCAATCCTAGTCCCAACCATGGTCAATGGTTCAAGTCTAAAAGATTATATATCTGCAATCAATCCTATATATCACTTAGTTAAGATTTCAAAGTTTACTATGCTATTAACCACTTAACCAAGGATTTGTTGCAGCAAGGAATCTCTGAATCTTGAGAAATAACCTTGAGAGGTGTCCCTACTCGGGGAGAGTCCAGCACGCAAGCTGCTGCTGGGCAGGAGCGCCCTGGGCTGTCCACCATTTATCCAGTAAGATGATTGACCTATAGTAACATTTGCATACCAGTGAGACACTTGGGTCCCTGTTGCAGACAGTGTTTGGCTACTATGTTGCTGTCCAGCCCCTGAAATCCTGCAGCCATCATGACTGTTGGTGGTGGCTTGAGCAACACCCTGCTCTATTGCTGCCCTACCCCTCCAGTACAGGGCATTGTAAGTTGAAGGAAAGCTAAAAGACTTTCCAAGAACCTGTGGGCAGACAACATGGATCTTAGCAAGTCCATAGCGCATAAAGCTTTGTAAAGTAAAACCAGATATTTTTAATGCACTTGTTCTCAGAAAAAAAGTGTAGGATAAGAGCTTACAGTAGCAATGCAGTGGGTGTTAACAGGCCAGTTCAGAACTGCATCTGAAAGAAAGCAAGCCTCTCCTGTTCAGAAAGGAGAGAGGTACCAACTTAGTGTCCTGGCCTGGCCATGCAGAGCAGGTAAGAAAATCAGCAGTTTCTGAAGCAGCAGAGCAGCATTGCAGTTGGTGAGATTAGACAAATCTGGCTTCCTCTGGCAAGGCCATATCCGTGTCCAAAACTTCAGACAATGGTGTCACTAAGTTGCATTGGTAATGTTGGATGCCAGGACAGCAGAGCCAGGATGGGGATGTTAGGCTGCATGAGGCTGGATTTTTTTCCACTTTAGTCCCTGTAAAAGATGATGATGTGTGATCTTAGATGAATGTCAGTGCCTTTACAAAAGCTCAGATTTGAACGAGTTTTTTTCTTCTTCCTGAGATGAAGGTAAAAGTTTTTATTGTGTTGAAACACATGAGCTACCCAGTATTTTCTGTTCACTTTTCAGGGTTTCCTTAAAATACCCATTTGGTGGTTCAAGTCTTCGACTCATATGAAACATGGAGAGAATGCACCAGACCAAGTGAACGGGATGACCTGCAAGATGGATGCTCTGCATGTGTCTCCTGCAGGAGGTGAGTTTAATCATTTTTTTTAAAGGAATCATATGGCCTGATTGTCCATGATCGCACTGAGGGCTTTGACTCAAAACCACAGTTTTAATCCAAAACCTTAAAATCCTACTGAAACCTGTACAATTTTCAGCAATTTTATGATGAAAGGAGCCACTTTGGAGACAGATGCAAGTTTTTACAGGGCCATGAATGCTGGATGGTACTGTTCTAATGTTTCTTAGCTATCGTTGGCCAAGGGTAAGACTTCCACTAAATTTTGAAGCAGGGCAATTTACTGGTCAGTAAATAAAATGGCTTCTCCGTACCTGAAAGCAGTGGCAGTATTGTAAAGCATCTGCTTAATGAGCATACAGGTGATTGGCTTCAAATGCCAGTCTCCTAATATCACATTTAATTCACTTCAGGCTATGTTGCTTTTTGAGAAGATGTAAAAAGGAGTGATGAGTAAATCTTACATAGAATAAGAGACTTTACATAAGTCTCTTATGTATAAGAGTATTTTAACCTGCGTTTATTCTTCTAAAGTTCAAATCCAAATCGAAAAACAGCTGGGTAGGAAAATCTAGTGAGAGCTCAGAAGGAAGAAGAAAATTAAGTGGGACAACTGCAAATTGGAAAATAGGCAACACTGATTTTCCTTTCTACAGGAAAAATAATACTCTTCCTTTGCTACTGAGCTGTGTTGCAGAGCAGGATCCCTCTCCTTTTAGAAGATTTATTTACATTTTTCTCCTTTTCTTTCAAATGTCTTGAGTTTTACTTTCTCCCATGAGGATTTTAGTAGCATAGGTAAGATCATATTTAACTTACCTTGCAACACGCTCTACATTTCATAGTCCTAACCAATAATTAATACTATTTACAAATGTGAATTACTGGTCTTAGTTTTAAAATTTGCAGTATAGGTTTATCCTGTTTGGCAACTGACAGAATGTATTTTATCAACTGGATGTTATGTTTCTTGGATGGCCCTCCAAAAAAAAATTGAGGTCAGGTCCCTTCTCTAAGTGAGATCTCAGCTTGAAGTCACTGTTACCTCTTTGGATGATAAACAAAGTCACGTTGACTCTTCTGTTGTTTTTTTTTTTCTTCCTCTCCCCTCCTCCCCCATCTAAAGATTCACCAGAATACTTCCACACAGACATGGATCTTTGTTATGCTGGCAGCATAGAAATAGCGGGAGAAGCTTCTTTGGAAGATCTGAAGATGCAGGTTAGATGTTCTCCTGTATTGGAAATGTACAGCAACACTGTGATTAATTGAGCTCTATTAATACCTATTTTTTATTTCCTTTTCCTTTGTCTCCAGTATGTTCTGATATGGCATTTGCTTATATGCCATGTTCAGTGGTAAGTACCAAGAGGCAGTTGGAGCATGTAGCTCAGAGACTTCCTTAGTACGTCTCCTGCAGTTGCCATTCTACCTGTCATGTGTCCTGACCTGCAAAAGCCTTGTTGTACTTCATCTGGAACTTTGGCTTGCAGCCCTATCTTTATTTCACAATGTAAAAATTATTCATGAGAAGCACACACATACAAGCACTTCCTAAAAAGCCACTTTCCATTTTCACATTGTTCCTGTATTAGTTTTCTGCATTGGTTTTTTTTTTGGTGTGTTGAATCTAATGAATAAAGAATTGCATTTGATGCACAGAAAGCCATGTTCATCATTCAGGAAGGTATAGCTTAGTTTCTTTGGCCAGAAACTAAGGTGCCTTTTTATGCTTTTTTTAACCATAAAAGTATGAATTTAATAGACTAAAACCCAACCCAAACCAACCAAACAAAAGAGAAACGCAAAAGAAAACAAAAACCCAACAAAAAAACCCAGCTCAAACCCACAAAAAGACATAAAGCAGTGCTGTTAGTAAGGCTCGCTATTGTTTAGCCAGTTAGCTGTCCTACTTAAACTGCATGGGGTAGGATATCTCACCTGATTCTGAGCCATACCAACACTTAACTATTTTGGGTACGACTTCAGTTTCAGTCTCTGGCAAACTACTGCTATGAAAAACTGACCATTTGCATCTTGTGTTCATCTTGAAGAGGGAGAATTGTCTTAGCATGGAAAGAGTATTGTGTCCTTGGTAAGGGCTTAAAGGAGCTTGCTCAGCTCTTCTCTAGAGATTGGGGTCGTGATTGTGTCAGCCTCATTCCCTCCCAGTTATACAAATCTTGGTTAAAAAAAGAAATTCAGTACTTTTGACGTGTAAGTTAAGTTAAGAAATGTTGGGAGGGATTGAAGTCCAGCTTGCTTTGAGATTGAAAAGCAAATATGTCGATCATAGCCACTACCAGTAAGTCAAAAGCAACGCCTGGTGTGGAATAAATCTGACTACCTTGCCCTATTTCTGATTGCTTTAGTATTGCATTGAGAATTAATCCAGAGGTTTTCTTTTTTCCAATGAGACTGCCTGCTAAAATTATTGAAGAAATGTTTCTTTTTTCAGGCTATGACCCTACCATATTGCCAGGAGCAGATTGTCCCACTACCCTCATTTCTCAGAGCGTGGACAGTGGACAGTAAGCGCCCAGGCAAGCTTTTACGAAACAACAAGCAACAACTCAAGTAGGTTTCTTTCTGAACGCAGAAGTAGCATTGCATTTGATTGTGGTGTGGATTGGTGGAGAAATAAATCAGCTCGGTCAAATGTTAACATAATGTTAACTCATTTCTGGTTACTTACATTTTTTACTGAGCGTGTTTTTTAACCGGAGAGCTGTGGAAGTGAAAGGTGTGAGCATAAGTTGATCCCACCGTGATTATTATTCCAAGCTTTGTTTTAGGTGTTTTTAAATGCCATTTTTGTACTTCTCTGAGTTTTTTGGGTTTTGTGCCAATAGCCTCTTGCTTTGCTTTTCCAGATAAACATGGGTCTACTTGACTAAAATGGTGATTTTTCTTCTCAAAAATTTAGAATACGTGACTGGAAATGTGTGTAATCTTTGTTTTGTTTTCAGTGACTATAAGCTGGGTGCCCGAGTGGAAATCTGCATAGAAGCTTTGCAAAAAGAAGAGCATCTGGGGTAAGATCTCAAGATACTTATGTCTTACAGCAGTGCACTTGAGATGAGACTAAATTGAGCAGCTTTAAATTAAATACTTTCTGTCAGGATTTCAGATAACGGTATGCGAGAAGACTTTGGAGGTTATGGTTTTGTTTTCCGCAAACAAAAATAAGAAAGGGCAGGAGCAAGTGAAAAGTGGGAATTCTGGATTCTGAAAGCATGACTCACAAGAATGGTCTATTTTCTCTTCCTGATGACAGCCCCCATGAACTGCTGCTTCGAGTCCAGATGGGCATACCAGGGGAGAGGGACTACTATGACTCCACGGATTTGGTGTGGGATATCTCCAAAGAGTGCACAACCTGGGCGCTGAGACAACGAGTGGCTTCTCACTATTGTCTCCCTGTAGATAAAATTGAAATAGCCAAATACTTCCCTGAAAAATTTGAGTGGCTGCCAATATCTAGCTGGGTAAGATCTGGTATGACAGAATCCAACCATTGTTTTGAGAGAAGTACGTGTTGTTTTGTGCTGCGGTTCTTGAGCAAACATATATAAGCAGGTTTCCAAAATCTGCCATGTACAAATCTTCTGTTTTGATTTTATTCAGACACAGCAAATTTCAAAGAAGAAACGGAAGAAAAAACAGGAAAGTTTACAATCAGCACCTTATCACCTGAAAGATGGCGATATCATTGGGGTGAAGGTAGATTAACTTGGTTTTAATTGTTGCACAAGGATTAGGTTCAGGCACTGCATACTTTGCAGTATTTAAATTTCTTCCTCGTTTTCCTGCATCCTGCTACATCTCTATGAAAGTACTGGTATGTGACTCTGGACAATACATTGTGTGGATAGGAAATTTGTTGCTATTGCTGGTTTTTCTTCTTTTTCTCCTGTTCTTTATCAACTTGATGGAAGTTTCATGCTTTTCCCCTTATATCTTGGTACTGGCACTAGAGGGCAATACCTTTGGGGCTCTTGTGCCGCTTTCAGCCAGTGCAAGCAGTCAGTTTCTGTTCAACCTTTGAACACTATCCAGAAGAAACTGGATCTTTTTTTTTGCCCTCATTTTATTGGCTTTTTTTTTCCAACTCTGAGTAAAATCCAAGAACTGCGGCCTTTAAAACCCTTACTGTAAGCTTAAACCCAGTATGTTTTTCCAAAGAATTATTACAGATCTATTTAAATAAGAATTACACAGCAGCATATTGAACTCTGAATTAGCAATAAGGCTTATTTAGGAGACCTCTGAAAGAACATGCTCGGTGGGTTTTAAAGCAGTAGGCAAAAAGTCTGATGTCCTATCCTGATGCATTAGACTATGGCGAGAAATCTCCGAATAACGCAAATTCACTGTTAAATGCAAAACCTAGAGAGGAGTCTACAATTTTTTTTTTTCTGCCTTTTCGAATTTTTGCCACCTAGTTAAGTTGAAGGTAATTGCTATAGAACTAGTTTGAGGAAACACACTGAAAATTAGTTGTGTGAACTGAGTAACGTGGGAAATAGTTTTGGTAGATAAAAATTATAAGCTAATACACTCAATCCTTTTTCACAACAGAATCTTCTCCTTGATGACACAAAGGACTTCAGTACAGTGAGAGATGATGTTGGAAAAGAAAAACAAAGGCAGCTTGCATTAGAAAAAAAGAAAAGGTATTGAGTATTTACATTTATTTTTGTTTAGAAATAATGCAAACTGTTCATTGCTGCTTTTGAGACTAGCTTGATACCCAGATAATTTTTGGGGACAGTGCTAGCTGGCTATTGTCAGAATACACAATTCTAGTAATCCTGAAGGACGCGCTCAGGTAATTAAAATTCCTGGCTTTAGATGCCATGTTCCTACACCGAGCCTTAGTTTTTCCTCTTGCAACACACTGCAGAATTCGTCATGTCCTCTGGACATGAAAAATGAACCCCTTGGCTGCACTGGCCCTGTACAGGTTGTAAGTGTGAGCTTGCATTGTCACTCTCACAACTACGTGCGAATTGGGTTCCAGTCCAGGCTCATGCTGCTGTCAGTACTGAGGCTCAACACTAATAATAGGCATCTTAATTTTATTTTTTTTTAGTAGTCGGCAAGCCGAACACTTACAAGACCATGTTTTCTCTGAGGAGAAGCTGAGTATTAAGCACCGTAAACCAGAAGTGGCTCTTTCTATCAATGTGGGTGTTTTCAGATAGCACCTGGAGACGATTTGCTGACCAGACCATACTACTGATGTACTCAATTGGAATGGAGTACCTCAACTGGACCAGAAGGAGGGTCTGTCCCAAAGTGTCTTCAGGAATCACCAAGACAAACTGGATATAGGATTCAGGATAACCCTGATTTTCTTCTAATCTCTCTTGGGGAAGCGCTTTAGCATCCCTTTATCAATGTGGTACTTACTCTCAGGCTAGGTAAATGCACTTTATCCACGAGAAAATGGATTAATGTATTGTATAACATTTTGGTGACTGTTTTGTAATCACCCTAAATGCTTTTTTTTTTTTTTTTTTTTGTTGGTCAGATGCTGATATCTTGCACCATCACTACAGAGTTTGCTGGGGTTTTTAATGCAGTCATAAACATATCTTTTTAGAAATATTTTTCCATCTCTGATCACTGAAGTTACTAGCAATATTAGAATTTGCTTTTGTCTCTATAAAATCTTAAGTCTGTAGTAAATTGAGTCAGATTTCAGGAAAGAAAGAAACGTGGAAATCTCTGCACAAAGTGTACTAAATTGGTTCAAAAAAGGGCAAGTTCCGAATTTGTCAAGCTCTAAAACCCGAAGACCTTTTGTGATACAAAACAACTGTGTGGTAACTTTATATTTTAAAGTTTTGAGGGCTTTTTTTGTTGTCCTTAAGCTTCACTAACAAACAAAAGGGATGGAAAAAATTGGCAGAGCTGATACTTGATCTGAAATGGGTTTTATTATACTCAGGAAAAAGGCTTTTATTTATTTTCAGTACTCCATTCAAACATGTTTTGAACGATGAAGTGAAAATGGAATGGTGGAAGATAACACACAGGCATTTCTGTGCAGCAGTAACGTGCTGGTGGCATCTAATGCGTTTGCCTTTTGCGGCTGGGAACCTGTGCAAATGAATTGCTGTATGAAGTGCAGTCTGCTATCAAACACACTGCAGAGCCTTGTTGAACTACACGGATGTTCTGAAACCTGTTCTGAAATGAGCAAAGCAATTGTTCAAAAATAGCTTTTGAACATAGCCTGAAGTACCCTTAATTAAAACTGTCATAATGAGAGGACAAAATACCAGTCACTTTTGGGGACTGTCATAAATGTTTAACCTGTTTCATGCATGTGTAGAAGATTTTGTAGCAGAAGATGCCAGTACAACAGACTTCTAAAATTTTGGCTAAGATGAGAAGATCTCTCATTTACCCTTTTTACCAGAATACTGGTAGTCCAGACAGCTTCAAGACAAAAACTGACACTCTCAGCTGTCAGGGGAAAAAAAAAAAGTCAAAAGCACCTTGAAGCATATGATTAGTATTTCTTTCTTTGCATATCTTTAAAGTTGAGCAGGTGCTTCTGTGCTTTCTTAGACCAATTAATTCAAGAAGGAGATATTTAAATTTCCCCACTGTTTTGGTTGTAGGTAGTCTTTACTTGAATCTTGAAATCCTAGTTTTATGGATAGATTTTTCGGACTGAGGTGAGGGCAGATAATTGCTTTCCCCATCTTATTTTGCATTGCCTTGTTCCATATCAACAAGTGTTCTTGTAAGCCAGGGTTTACAGAAATTATCACACATACTGATTACTAAGGTAAGCAAGAAAGGTTTGTGTATGCAGATTGTTCCATTGCATTGCACTTACTTTGCTGTCCCTTTAATTCCTCCAGTTCCTTACCGGACAGCTGTACTAAGCTCAACCTTCCCGCCTACCTTTAATAACTCTAGTCTCTTCTTGAACCGCAAAGTTTTGAGAAATAGAAATATGGATTCCAAGTACTGACGCGGGGATTTGAGTATGTGCCTTTGTTAAAGTGTAATGTAGCAGCGCCTGCACTGATCCAATCTTGAATTATTTCTGATGTTGGCTCAAAGTGCATATTTTTTTCTTAAAACTGTTGTGGGTCATTCCACAATGAAAGAGTTCATTAAAAATGGGGGTGGGTAGAGGGAACACCTTTTTAAAATGGAATCTTTGTGATTCCACAGTTTATGATGGTTATATTCCAAAGCCTGAAAAAGCTTTCATCTTTATTTTTCAAGTGTTCTTCACAAAATAAAAAGTCATTTCTATATGTCTGTTTGATTTGTCTATGCACGTCTCGTCGATACACGTTGATTGGACAGGGCACAACCTTCATTAAGCTTTAATTTCCAAATCTTTTCCTAAGACAGCATCCTGATATCTGTGCAAGAAGTTTCCCCAACCCAGCTGGGGTTGCACTGTGCAAAGACCTGTGTTCATTTGGATGACTGGCATTTTGATGCAAGTTTAAGTGATTTTTAGCTTGTTTTTTTCCTCTTTTTCAGAAAGCAAGGTATAGTATTGTTATGGTTTGAGAAACCCATAACAATTTATTGTTGTTTAGATGATAATTCTGTCACCCGATGACCCCTCCCCACCTGGGAAGGGGAATCGGGGGAAAAAAGAAGCAAACCCGGGGGTTGAAATATAGAGAGATATAATAGAATAAGATTAGATAATTAACATTAATAGCACTAAAGAACCAATATTGATCCTGATACCAATACAGAATATGCAAAGATTATACTCAGCCAATTCTGTCAGTAGGAAGCTGTGCACAGTAAATGTTGGACACTGCGAGCGCTACGGCTTTGGGAGGAAGGGACGGTCTCAGGGGTCCCACACGGGGGCAAGAAGTTCTCAGGATAGCAGCCATCAAGGGAGAGAGCACTTTGCAGCAAACTTTCTAATTTAGATTGAATGTGACGTTCATGGTATGAAGTAATCCTCTTGGCCAGCTTGGGTTAAGTGCCCAGGTCTCGGTCCTCCTCCTCCCTGCACCTGGCAAGCTTGAAAACATGAAACCTTGAAACCCACTCACCATAGCTGGCTATAAAGTAAATATGTTCACAAATTCAGACACTAGTGTCTTCTAAAAGTGCAGTCTTCCCAATTATTAGAAGAGAAATTAGTCCTGTGTCACTCAAATCAGGACAAGTATCAACTGCTTATTAACTCCCAGTTTGTGCACAAATGTATTCATCTGGTCTGTATTTCAAGGGAACTTGCATAAATCATTTAGAGAACTGTGGCTCTGCATAGAGTAAGAAACACGGATTGCTGAGGAATGGTTATCTTTTGTGTCTGCTCCTGGTGCAGTCCCTGTAAAAGAGCAAGTGTTCAGGTCTGGGAATTTTATTATGAGAAAATAGTGGGCTTTCTTTTTCTTTTCCTTCATAACTCATTCCAGTTTGTGTAAGTGATTATGGAGCTGGAGGATGTGGCCTGTTAAAAAGCAAAGTCCTCCTCACTCGCTTTAATTCTTCCTTGGTGGCCACTGAACAGGGTGGTCATGTTCTGAAAGGTTTTGCAGTTACAAACCCCAAGAAGGAAAAGCGGTGGTGTGGGGAGGTGTAACTGGGACAGATGAGCAATGGCACAGCGGCTGCAGCCTGTGCTGGGGAGAAGCTTCATGGTTCTGGGACTTGATGGCTGCTTTGGCTATCTCCCTGTGCTGAAGGGTGGGGTGCCTGGAGTGCCCTCCGGCACGGTTAGCTGCAGCTTTGGGATTTTGTCAGTACTTCTACTGACATTGCCTGTAGTTTGAGGAGTACGTCTTCAGCCCTTGCCTTGTCAAGGCCACCACATCTGGAGGAAACAGTACCAATCTGAATTTGCAGGCAAGCTTGAAGAGACTGAGAGATGTGAGCCCTCGAGTCAGTGGCTGGAAAGCTAACAACACAGCTGTTACTGTTCTGTTTCATGACTGACCCTTGGTCAGTGCAGCTCCATGTGCTGATACATGCAGAAGACATGATAATGATACAGCCTTTCCATGGTCTTTATTACAGCCAGGCAGTGGAGGCCCATCAGCTGCTTTTGTTGAATGCAGTTTGCACGTGCTCTGCTTCTGCTCCTGTTCAGTCTATGTGTTCATGCCTTAGAAAAGCATCAATCTTCTTGCTAGTTTGTGGGTTTGTTGCGAAGAGACTATCAGCTTCATGGTTAACAAATCTATAAAATACTGCATTACAAAGCTTTTCCATAAACTTTAACTGCAGCCCAAACAGATTTTGATTCCAGTGGTTGTATTCAGATGATCCGTAGGGTTTAACCACCTGCTTTTACTGAAATTCTTGCTAATCACTGGGAAGAACCGTGTTTAGAAAAAGGAAAACAAAACAGGCCTTAGGCCCTCGTGCTTGCATCTTTGCTGACAAGCTTTACTGGCATTTAGCAACTGTTACTGGTTCCACAGATTAACCATTTTAATTTCCTGTGTGCATTTAATCTGCGGTAGCATCCCAGGCCTGGGCAGGCATCGCTTGCTTGGCTCAGAGGTGCCTTCTGCCCCTCTCTGCTGGCAGCCTTCCTCACGCAGGTGCCTGCCGGGATGCTTCCTTCTGACCACCTTGGGTCCTGTGGCAGTACTCAGCCCATCGCTGTCCTTTCTAAACTGCTCCCGCCTCTGCTCTGAGCCCGTACCAGCCCTCCTGTCTCTGCTGGGTAACCCGAAGGTTGCTTTTTCCCCCTATGTCTTATTTGCCCTTTTATTTGCCTTGTCTGCAGCTTCTCCTGGGGGCTCAGTGTGCCACAGGCCTTGTCTTCAAATTCCTCTTTAATTCCTTTTTTCCCGGTGATCACAAAGAATTGCTGATCACAGAGTCTTCTGTGTTTCATGGAGAAGTTGGTGAGACCACTGTGTAATTCCAGGTGCCATTGCTGGTCAGAGCCACATTTTGACTGTAAGCTCCTGCCAGCAGCATGTGCTTACGGAACAGCTCCCTGGTGACTTCTGTGAATTATACCCGCGTTCTTCATGCCTAAAGAAGTTTAACCCTTGTCCCACCCACCAGCCCTTTTACTCATAAAGAGAAAGGTATTTGTTAGCTAGTGTGGTTTGTTTTGTTGCCATTGGACGCTCATGAGAGGGCCAGGCTGTGATGGGTTTTTGTGGGGGTGGGTTTTTTTTTTTCTCTTTGGATTGTAAGTAGGTACAGCCATCATAGTTACTGTTAAGCTGACACCCGG